CACTATGAGATTCATTATTACCTGTCACCTTTACATTTAAAAAGACATAAGAATGTTTGTCAGTGTATTTTTTGCATGGCTATTCGTTTTCGTAGTAATATAATGACTTTGTGACATGCTCTTTGATTATAGACAACATACACAGACAAAGGCGAAAAGGTAGGTAACCTAATCATATATGTTTCCCTGAACAGATGTTATTAAATAACTGCTGCTGTTAATGAGGACACTAAAACAAAGGTTTTAATGTCATGTCACCAATCCAACGTTTGTTAGAGATCATTTCGCTTGAGACACTTCACTATGTGATTTAACTAATTACAACAAAAGCCTAAAACTGAATCTTCCATCAGTGACTAATGTATTAAATCATTATGTCTTCTTGTGTTTAGCATGAGCAGGGCAGGTTCCTCTGCTTTGATCACTTAACATTCTGGGTTGGAAATGCAAAACAGGTAAGTTAACTCATACCTGCTCACTCTCCACTTTTTTGGGCACATGATGTTTTTTTTTCTGACCAACTTTTCTCACAGATGAAGGTGTAGACTACACACTCAGCCAGGCTATTGGCTCTCCAGAGGGGTGGAGGGGACACAGCATGCAATACCCCAGACCTCATACTCATTTTCCCACCTTCAAGTAGCGCAGCAAAAACTGTCAGTTAAAGCTCACTAGTCACCAGGAGATGGCGCTATCAGACAGTTTAAAGCCGACCTTTTGTAGTCATTCTTAATTATGGTTTAACATGGAAATGAAACATCTCCTGTGATGACTGTCTTCAACAGGCTGCATCGTATTACTGCAACAAGCTGGGGTTTGAGCCTTTGGCTTACCAGGGTCTGGAGACAGGCAGCCGTGAAGTGGTGTCCCATGCAGTCAAACAAGGAAAGGTAAAGACCCGTCAGTGCTTCAAGCCTGGAAGGACACAGCAGGAAAATGAGAAGCTTTCCTGTAGTACAACAAAACAAACATGAGAAACACTGTTTTTATACTGATTATACTGTCAATATATAGATATGAAAAGGTCCAAATTTTAGCTCTGTACTGAGTAAATTAAATGATTCATGCGGGAAAGATTCACTTTTAACATGTTAATGTTTTCACTTTGTATTTGACAGATCATTTATGTGTTCTCATCTGCCCTCAATCCTGGAAACAAAGGTATGTCATTGATCAGGGGCTGGGTTCATAATATGATTTGATGATTATGATTTGATGATAATATGATTAGGAATTTTAAGCCAAGAATAAGAAAAAATATTATTAATTTACACTCACCTTTATTTTGTGAGCCATTTATTTAGCAATTACAAGGAAAGAGTGACACAGTTTACAGGAGTAATAAATGCATTGGTTTGTCACAACAAAAAGGGGAGCTGCTACGATGCAATTCACTGTTCATGTACTTATTTTGAGAAATGGGCCACTGGACTTTATCACTTTTACTCACATGTGATGAATTTATTCCTCCCTATTTTGTTTAACCTTTCTGTTTTTCTACAAATGACCTTTCACCCTTTCAAGGCTTGTGTTCTCTGATACTTAAATTGTGATTACAGGCTAATAAAAATATGCATTTTCATACCTCACATAAATTTTCTGATACCTTAATGGTCTGCTACGAGAACACTGAGCTCCCATAATTATTAGTAAAAACAACTGAAGAAGGAAGAATTGTGCAAAACATTTCCCGACAAATACTGAAATGCTTTGGCCAAATCAAAGAGAGACTATGTTTGTCTTTTTCTCAGAGATGGGAGATCATTTGGTGAAGCATGGCGATGGAGTGAAGGATGTTGCATTTACAGTGGAGGACTGTGACCTCCTCGTGCAGGTAATGCTTCAGGTTTTATTTGGCAGGTTCATTCTCAGCTACTTAGTAACACTACATTCACTTTTGAGACTACGCTGAATCGCTGGCACTGAATTCTATTAGATGAATGCTTCTGCTTTCAATGCATTTATATTTTCTCTACTCGCAGAAAGCCCGTGAGCGAGGTGCAGTTATTGTAAAAGAGCCTCACACTCTGGAGGACAAGTACGGTAAAGTCAGGCTGGCCGTGCTTCAAACGGTAATAGAAACCTATGAATTTACATTAAACATTTCAGTTGCAATTTCAATGTAGCACACTATGTAATGAGGCGACTTGGTTTTGTTCGCTGCAGTACGGTGACACCACACACACGTTTGTGGAGAGGACAGGATACAGTGGGTTGTTTCTGCCGGGATTCCAACCCTCTCTGTTCAAGGACCCTTTATTAGCCAAACTGTGAGTAAACACAAGTTATTCTGGTGTTGCTACACTTATAAGATGATAAAGTGCCTGTTTCCATTTGAATGCCAACTAATGAATGATGAGTTTGTGTGGTTTTGCTTTCGTCCTTGCACACAGGCCAAGTGGAAAACTGAACTTTATTGATCACGTTGTGGGAAACCAACCAGACGATGAGATGGTTCCAGTAGTGGAATGGTAATGGACTTAAAGGGAGTCTGAAAACATGCAACAACAAAACTGCTGTTCATGCCTCTGTATTGTGATGCAGTTTACAACAGCAAAAGTGGTGGTGGTTAGGAGGAGTGGGTTGGGGGGTGGGGGTGGAGTCAAAGGCTGTCTGATTCTTACATAACTCTTTTTTTTCTAGCATGACTCGAGGATCAGCATGACTTTGCACTTTTTAATTTGGGTCTCCAGTGGTCCTCCACATCTGGATTTTGTTGTTAACCCATCATAGGCATTTAGGCACGAAAAGGCAGGGAAAGGCAGTTCTCTGAATGAGCAAGCTCATTGGTTGATCCTGGAAAGAGGGGTGTAACATGACCCGGGAGGTTTTCAGATGTGAACCTCATGGAGCCAGTTCAGTTGTCACTCATTCATGTTTAGCAGGCTGCAATTCTCTAATTCTGATTCTACGGTTGAATCAATCCAAGACACCAGTGAAAAGCAGAAACACTAAGCATTTCAGATTATGTAACATACGGTAAATATACGTTTACACCACAGGTGTTTGACCCACCATAATGTTTGTCTGCTGTCTGCGGCCACTGATCTCTGGTTCACGATCTTACAGGTATCAGAGGAACCTTCTTTTTCACCGCTTCTGGTCAGTGGATGACAAGCAGCTTCAGACAGAGTTTAGTGCCCTGCGCTCCATCGTAGTGGCAAACTACGAGGAGACTGTGAAGATGCCCATCAACGAGCCTGCCATGGGGAAGAGAAAGTCTCAGATCCAGGCATGTTCCTCACACTTTAACAAATATGTGGACTAGACACAACTTATTTGTAAAATAATTTTTAAACAGCAAGTATCTTTTCTCTATGTTTGCACTTACAGGAGTATGTGGAGTACTATGGAGGTCCAGGAGTGCAGCATATAGCCATGAACACATCAGATATCATCACTGCGGTAAGTCTATGAAACGCTCGCTTTGGTTTTGTATGTGGATGCAGTGGCAACAGTAATGATCTGATGAATCCCATCTGTGCAGATTCGTAACCTAAAGGAGCGTGGGATGGAGTTCATGTCTGTGCCGGACACCTACTACGACCAGCTCAGGGAGAGGTTGAAAGAGTCAAAGGTCAAAATCACAGAGGACCTGAATGTCCTGCAGGTCAGAGCTATTGTCATATGTTAACATACTTGGAGGAACAATGCTGTGTCAAAACTTAAGACAAGTGAATTTACTTTGTAATCACAGTGATTTTAAAAGCAAAATGTGCATATACTACTTTTCAACAACCTCATGGAGAAACTCCTCCCGAGAGACAAATATTATCCTGTCACCTTGCTCATATACAGGAGCTGAAGATCCTGGTGGACTATGACGACAATGGCTATTTACTTCAAATCTTCACCAAGCCAGTTCAGGATCGCCCCACGGTGTTCTTGGAAGTCATTCAGAGAAACAACCACCAGGTGAGGGCGCCGCTGGATAGTTGAACTCTTTTACAGAAGGAGACACATTTTACATTTTACAGGACATTCAGTGTCTTGACAAGACAATATCTGTTCTAGGTGAAGAATAGCAGTAATTTAAACATATGATTTGTCCACAGGGCTTTGGCGCAGGAAACTTCAAATCTCTTTTTGAAGCTATTGAAGGCGATCAGCACGCCAGAGGAAATCTGACTATCCTTACGCCAAATGGAGTTTCCAAGAACATGTGAAGCCAACGTTATATTTACGTTTTACCTCTGAAAAATCTCAACATCCATTAATGAAAATACACTGTCCATCGAGGGTCCTGTTTACTTCCTAAGAGTATTATACTGATAATGTGCTACATCAACGTTCTGATATTGCGATAGACAGTAAGAGTGCACAAAGCGTGTTTATTGATGCTTTTATGCTTTGATATTTTTGTTACTTGCATGTTTTATTAGTATTAAGAGTTTATTACATCATAAGTAAGAAGAGTACATCACAGCTTAACATTCATAATGCCACGCTTTCTTCTTAAAAAATATTAAAAACACAACCAATATTATTGATACAAGCTTGACTCAAGCAAAACACCATTTAAGCTCTCATAAATGAAAACATTTAACTATACATTTATGTTATCATTTGGACATTTCATTGTAGCAGAGGCCTTTAGCATGATGTTTGGTGCGCCCATTTTCCCCCTCCATGTTGGAAGACAAAAATTGCAATGTGTGAAAAATTGGTTGCAATAAACTGTAATGTACAACCGAATGTAGTGTTTTATGATGTAGCTTTTTCCACAACATTTTGTTTTAACTGTGATTATCATTTCATGTCAGACCCCTGTTGATAAAAAAAAAAGCAAAGCTCCAAGTGCTTGGTCCCATTCCAGTCTTAAGTGCTGTTTAGGGCAGTTTATAAAAATCATGATTGCCTGATGGCCCTTCTCCAGCACGCTGCAGTGCTTTTCTGATTTACTGTGTGAAAATGACTTTTTTGACACAGTCTGTGTTCATACTGTACAGTGCCTCAGGCAACTCTGTTCTCATGACATAATCAGGACACTTCCTTAGAGATCAGTTCAAGGAGCCGCGGCAGCTATCTGCTCCGCACAAACAAGGAATCTTTGTTTCCTCGATGGGAAACTTGTAGTCATATGTGATCTCCTCATTGATGCTTATTGGCTGCCGGGAGTATATCACTATCTTCTTCTGAGACTCCACAGTGATGATCTTAGCATAGCAGTTAGGCTGCAAGAGAAAAAAAAGTAAGTGCAAACATTTTCATAAGAATGTGAAGTTATTTAGCATTTAGGATCCTATTAAACAAATGTTGATCTTATTCAGAATCACTTTAATCTCCAGCCACAGCCCCAGCAGCTCGTACTCACATTGCAGCTGTGGTTGATAAACCTGGCTAAGTTCCCACATTTAGTGGCATCAATGATGGTGTCCTGATCCACCCGGAATAAATAGCTGCTTCCAATGCCTTCCTCCTCATATCTCTGCTCCCTCATGTCAGCGATGACCTAAGGGAAAAAAGAACAGATGCACCTATTCATGGGTTGTGTTTATCTTATAGGGTTGTTTATCACTACCACTCTTATTCACACACCTGGAAAGTACCCAGAACAACCAGAGGGTCCCAGTGGGCCACTGGGCCAATTCACAGAAACAGTCAAGGGGATAGTGGTTTGTTTACATTTGTCTGCAGCATTTGATGGCGGAGATGCTTGCATCTATGAATTTTTTCCCGAGCCTTGTCATTAGTTTATGTTCGTCTCACCTGTCTGATGATTTGGCCAACGTACTCAATCACCATCTCATCTGCAGCTATAGGCTCCATGGCAAACAGCCCCCACTCATGGATGTGACTCCGGCTGAAGCAAATCCTCTTCTTTCGAAACTGATATAAGAAGAAGAAGTTAGACAAAGAGTAGCTCCTTCTGCTGCAGACACTGACATGACAGTTCACTCATTTCAGGTAATCATTCAAATAACTGTGTTCTACCTTGGGTGGAAATTCTGACCACAACACAGTCTGTGCATCTGGACAGACCATTGACCCTTTTTTAAATCTATCAATCTTATATCAGAATGGCTAGATACCACCAGGGTCTAGAGAAAAAAAATATATATATATTTTGGTGATTTAGGTAAATTGAGCCTAGCTTTGGTATTAATATTTTTAATATATGCAAATGGAGACGTGCACTTGTAAAAACCAAGTTACATACAAACATACATATCTCATGAGAGCAGTCCAGGACTTACATACTGATAAAAGACTTTATTGTTCCTAACAATATAATAAGTAGTTTGGGAATGCTAGCAGGTGTCAAGTAATTAATATCAAATTCTTTGGATTTAAAAGGTTTATATAAGCTTCTTTCAAGTAGAAAGCATGGGGGTTTTCAATTGAGTGTACTTATCTTTATACTAACACCTTACTTACCTTCAGCTGATTGAACCTGACCAGGTCACTATCACAGCTGAACGAGGACAGCAGGCGGCGCTGTTCAGACCTGAAGTCAGATCCAGCACGCAGCAGGGAGGTCGGTTGTTGGGCGGGGATGGACGTTCCCTGCAGGAATAAATGTTGACATTAAACACTGAATGGAATAAACCGGGCACTGAGATCATCACAGTTTCCCCTCTTTAATACCTGAGTACTGAGAAGCTTTGTGTTGTTGAGGTATTTCATTTTGTCCTTCCTGCTGATTTTATAGAAGCCTTCGCTGCGAGCAGAGCCGGTCCTGTGATTTGGCTGCCAGGATTTGTGCTCCTCACTTTTTTCTACGAGGACTTTAGTCAGTGAGCAACAGTTAAGGATGTCAAGCACAGAATAAACAGTACCATGCAAATTTTGTATATGTGCATATATTGAATTTCCATATATGATATACTTGTACATATAAAATAAAAACATATGCTTATATTTTACACATATGTTACGTAAATATATATCCATCCCAAAGCCTGTTAATATATGTCGAAAGGCTGACACCACTTTCCCAGAAAGGGGAGATAGACAAGTTTAAAATGAATGAGAAATTAATAAGAAGAAACACACATGAGCATATAGAATTTTTCATATGTATGTTGTTTAAATAAACTTGCAGATATGAATTAAATTCATATTATTAACATATGTGGTAGCAACATATAATAACATAAAAAAATTCATCATAAAGATTTTTTTTTTAAATATGTACGTATATAAATTTTACCATAGGTTTTTCATATATGTTATAAACTTCATAACTTCATAAATCCTGAGGATGTATGTATGTGATAATAACATATCCCCTTATAGATGACATGTGTATATGGCAACATGACTCTTGATACAGGGACATATGTGTCATATATTACATTTCTGTATCAATCACTTACTGATTTATCAGAATTCATCATTTATTTGTAAATGGATGTTTTAATAACAGTACCTTTAGCATTTTAATGTAAGGGGTTTCAATATTTTTTCAAAAAAATCAGGGTTTAAATATGACGTAATATTTTTTCCAGAGTAAATATAAAACATTATGGAATTAATCGCAGTCATTTGTGCACAATACAGTGCAACCTATAAATTAATCAAAACTATGTATACATTATCAGTTAGTTCACTTACTGTAAACTCACTCTGATCTAATTTCATTTTAACATGAGGCTCTGTTAAAAAGGATATGAGGGTGAGGTATCCAGAGGGTGTCACTGAGCCACCCAAAGCCATTATCCTGCTCGTGCAGCCTTTCATATGTACTCTGCAGCAGCCTTGCATCTTCTTCATCCAGACCCTCTTTCCAAACACTGTGAAGGATTCTCCCCTCTTCATACAGTGAACGCCACCTGTGAGGACGACTGTGGTAGGAGAGTGAACCGGTGATTCTTTTACGTGATCTCTGCTGATGGTGGCTTCTCCATCTCCTCTTTAGCCTCCTCCACTGTTTTCGCCTAGATAAGGATTTCTCCTCATCCAAAAGGCCGGGCATATTCTCCAGTCCCTGCAAGGGCTTCGCTCTCACACATGAAGTGATCCACACACCCCTCCCATCATCAATGTCAGATGTAGATTCAGTAAGGCTGCATGGAGAGGACACTGTGATGGGAGAGCCTCCGAGAGAGTCGTCACACAACAAGGAGGTGGCCACCATTGGCGTTTTCCTCCTGTGGGCGTCTGCTATTCGAGTTAAGATAATGTCTCTTCCAGGAGTCTTTGGGGCTGTTATATACGGATTACTGGACAGGGATGGAATAGGTGGTGGACTGCTAAGAGGTGGGCACATCACTGTGCTACCTTCTAACATTGTCATCGCTCTGCCAGGTGTTGCTGGAGCTCTCCCAGAGCCTTGCTGAGGCCATCCACTTCTCTCCTCCCTGCCAGGGGTTTTAGGTATATCCTGGTAGAATAGGTATGGGGCCGCTGGGAGATCAGAGGGAGCTAGAACAAGCTCACTGCTCACTGGAGAGAGGGACAAGACTTCATCTGAGTCCTCACTTTCCAGTTCAGCTACTATGCCCTTCCCTGGTGTTTGTGGCCGTTCCACTTCCTCCACAGCAGGAGATGTTGGTTTGCTTTTTATCAGAAGGTCAGGGTCACTTTCCACCAAGCAGCCAGTCGGAGTGAGAGGCCTCAGGTTTTCTATGGTTTCTAGAGACTCCACCGTCCACTCAGGGCTCTCCATCTCCACATCAAGATCTGGCTCCACTGCTGCACAGATAAATAACAAAGAATTATTACAAAATCCTATTTACATCATTCATTCAATGGTTTTGTTAAATTATGTATAGAACATACAGCTTTTTAAAAATGTTTCAAGGGTAATCTGTGAACATTAAAATCCTGCATGCTGAATGTTCAGTCATTAGATGTACATCTGTTAATACTTTGATAGTTATTTTTATCCTCATTAGATGCCAGAATATTTGGGAAAATCACAGGGAATTTTTGCACACCACTTTCATAAACTTTGACCGACATGAAACATTATTGGAAAATCATGCTGCAGTCAACTAATTCGATCTACAGCATGCTGGACATATAACCTGGAAGTCCTAGAGGTGACGGAGGCTGTAGGTCCTGGGGTTCTCTTGGTTGGAGCTCCATCAAGGCATCCATGTCACAGGTGTGTTGTTGACAGGATGTGTACTGGCTCTCTTCTCTTTCCCCCCTTTGAAATGGGTCTGACCAGTCCTGCATGCACAGATCTAGCTGAGCACCAGGGGTTAGCGGGGCGGCAGAGTTAAGGGGAGGCCCAAGCTCCATTGACTCTTCATCTGACAATATCACTATACACTCGACACTCCTGTCGTCCTCGTCGTCCTTCTCCATGTCTTCATCTTCGGGACTGAGGTTCGAGGAGGACGAGTCCTCAAAGCTCTCCGAGAATAACGAGTCCGAGGAGTCAAAGTCCGACGAGTACTCGCTTTCCCCTGAGGAGCAGCTCTCTGAAAAACTATCTGTAGTTGAAAACAGAAACCAAAATATTCACTCATAGGTACGTGATTCTTCATTAACTCTCAGCGTTTCAACTAAATTACATTAAGACCTACCGCCATCTGAGCACTGCGCTCCATCACTAATGTGGGAGATGACGGCTACTTGATCCTCCACGTGTTTTTGTGCCACTTTGTTTTCTTCTTCAGGATGATTACTGTCATCATCATCATCATGATCTCTGTCACACTAAATAAAAAAGTTTTCTATTAAAAAACTGATAGCAAAGTAGAGGCACCACACTGCAATTCAGAGTTAAAAAAAATTCCTATTCACCAGGTTTTGAGGAGCATCGTCATCTGGCACAATATCCTCAGCTTTATCTGATGTCATTTCTTCATCTTGAATTGGGTTAGCCGCTTCTTTCCCTTCAACATCATCATCATCATCATCACTGTCAAGCTCATGTGGTCTTGCGTGTCTGCGTTTCTGTCTCACTGTGTCATCCCCCTGTTTCACATCTAAAGCTCCGTGGAAGAGAGAAACATAGCTGATCAAGCTTTAGTTGAGAATAGACAGGTGGAGAAGTTAACATATAGTATATGAGGGTTAGGTGCATTAAAAACACTGACCAGAATTTTCATGCGTAGAGGACGACACATTTTCTGTCTCTTTTATAGTAGCACTATCATCAGCTCTTTTCCTTTTTACCTGCATAACAATAAGTCATTTTACATTACATGAAATTATGTGTCTCTCAGAGGTTAAATGCTGGTGTGTTTCATAGTACACTGAGCAGAGTAGTTTACCTTGAAGGACGGTAGTGGAGGCTTTTTGCCCTGGCCACTGATGTGACTGAGGGGATTTATTTGTTTCTTCGTCTCTTCCACACTTCCTGATCCACTTTTCAAAGGAGAAACTTGTATCTTATGAATAAAACAACAAAAATAATAAAGTTACTGAGTCCAAAAGTGTACTGCCATTAAAATGTTGCAAAGGACACAGAAAATAAATGTGGTTTCATTGACCAATGTGAAGAACTTACCTTTGTTTTCTTCTCCTGACAGTCCCACCAGTCCTCAAATGCCTTGAAAGCCACTCCTTCAATCATTCTACGTGTAATGTCCTTCTTAATGATTGACTTCAGCTCATCCATGAGGACTTCTAAAACTTTTTCTGCTGTGACCTTGTGAGGGTCTTCCCGCACAACCGTGTAGTCTGGTGGTGGCACAAAGGGGTTAAACCTGGGAAAAGGTGGAGCGGGCCAGGGTGGTCGAGGGAATGGTAAAGGTGCACTGCCATGCTTCGGAGGATTCCCCTTATCCAAACGGCCTTCAGGCTGCATGGGTAAGGGGTACGAGTGCATGGGAGGTGGGACAGAGGGCGGCACCATCAAAGGTGGAGGGGGTCCCATAAAAAGGGGTGGGGGAGGAATAGAAGGAGGAGGTTGAATAGGAGGAGGAGGAATGGGTATGCGGATGTGATGGCCAGGAGGGGGGATCCAGCTTGGAGGTGGGATGGGGATGGTGCCATTTGGCAGGCGAGGGGGGACCGGTGGAATAGATGGAGGAAAGGGTGGGATGGGGAAAGGGAAAGGGGTGACTGGTGGAATGGCAGGAGGAGCTTTTGGGGTAAGGTGTTGAGAAGAAAATGACAGGGAATGAGGAAGAGAGATGTCTGTTGTCGGTGTCAGAGCTCCAGATTGTCTGTTGATTGTTTGCTCCTCATCCTCATCTGCTGCATGATGCTCCTGAGTATGATGCAGAGAAATCTCAGTGGATGAATTATAGCACAACAGAAACACTTTTAAATAGACAATAACTACTACTTTTCTTATTAGGATGTGTGTAGAGATCTAGAGAATTACCTTTGGAACAGATAATGACTGGAAACTTTCTGCATCTTTTTCGTTGTTTATGTGCGCCCTCCTTTCGAAATGCGTGGGATAAGATGGAGTGGGAGATAGGGAGTTTCTTTTAAGAAACAAAACAGCTTGAGTAGTTTCATCATCTTCATTTTCGCTGAGAGATGTTAGACTGACATGGACCAGATCATTGTTGGATTGCTGGTTGCTGCCTGCGAGTGGTCCAGGAGAAATCAAAGTGCAAACAAGTGAGTCATCTGAGAGAGGGGAGTTATTAGCTGAGCAAGGTGAAGTTGGGCTGTCCTGAAAGTGCACATCAGCCTGCAAAGTCTTTCTATCAAAGTATGAGGGGTCAGTGCTGTGGCTGTTTATCAGCAAATTTTCAATGCGGGAGTCCAAACTTTCTACCTCTGCTTGGGGGCTGCTGGAGAAACAGTTTACAGCAGATGGAGATAAGTCTGTTATGCATGCGTGGTCGTCAGGGGGGAAGGACGCTGCTGTCTGCTGGTCAGATTTGAAATTAATGCTCAGGATGCTGACAGAGTTACAGTTCAGAGGTAAAGTCTTAGAGGCATCAATGACCACGTCTCTGGACTCTTGACCGGGGGAAGCAAGGTTAAAGGAAGGTTGTGTATCATTGTGAGTGGAGGATTGTGCACTGTGACCCCACAGTGCAAGCTGCTGGCTGCTAGTTTGTATTTGGGTAGAGAGGGTGTGTGGTGGCTGTGGTTGGCAATGCTTCAAAATTAAGCTGACATCTGAGACTTCACCAGATCTCCTATGATACCTCGCGGGTGTGCGATGGCAGAGCTCTCGTCTTAGAGGTTTGTGAACACTATAGGTTGAAGGCTCCAACTGGAGCACCGGAGTCGCCTGAAGACTGGAGTAGCAAGAGTCCTGGGAGAGAGGAGTCGCAGAAAAGCAGGGAGTGTGGGGGGTTCCCTGAGAATGTGGTGTAAGCCCAAAGCTGCAAGGCGTATCCTGCCAAATACTGGAGTAGGCTGTGTCCAGAGAGAGAGGTGTAGCAATGCTGGTGGGGCTGGAGACACTTCCCTGTCGCTGTGTGGCTGCACTGGCCTGTAAGACATACATAATACAGAGAAAACATGAAAACAACTGGGAAATATTATCCACATTCATTTCACAGCCGGTTTATAAATACTGAATAGACAACCACCTTGATGATCAAACCACTACAAGCAGCTTTAAAATGTTTACCAGCAAACTGTTGATCAAGCTTTGAAGAGCTTGTTCACTGCTGCCCACTGGCAACGTCCAAGGAGTATAAAGGCCACGTAAGAGGAGCTGGAGATATCGCGCCCTGTTTTCCCCTGAGGAAGGTTACATATTACAGTTAGTCAACACATTCAACTATTACACTTTCACCATATATAAATGCAAGGTATTCCTTATATCAGCTTTACCTTTAGGATCAATTTCCACATGAATAACATTTCCCATCACTGACGTCTGATGGAGGTGCTGGACAGCGCCTTTTGCAGCCCGCACTGTGTCGAAGATAACCTTTGCGATCCCTAAGTGTTTCCTGTTTTTAGGATTGTAGAATATTTCCACTTCTTCAATATTCCCATATTTTTTGCACATATTAGTCAAGAAGGCCTCCCTGACATTGTCATTCAACCTGGAAAATGTCACTTCTTTGGGAGGAACAGGGCCGACATACCATTCATCAACCTGAAAAGACAACAAAAACAACTATTACTATTATTATCATTATTACTATTTTTATTTATATCATATTAGTACTAGTAGTAGTAGTATTTTATTAATTGTTAATTATTACCATTATGTTGACGATAAAAAAATTACCTTAAATTTAGGCACTGAAAGGTCACTCTTATGGCTTTTGCTCCACAGGCGGCAGATGCGAGGATCTCTGACAGTATCAACAGGAAACAGACCTAAGTCCTCAACCTGTTGAGGTAAACAACACCCATCCTTATAATGGAAAAGATATACGCCTGTTTGGAACAACGTTATAGCGGGAAAATATACTTAAATGCTATTATTTATAAGAGACAGGCAATAAAGAGATATTTAAAAATGCTCACGGGTATGTTAAAGTATTGTCCATCATAACGGTACACTTTGTACAGTCCTTTTGTCAATGCAGGGTCAATAATCAACTTGCAACTTCTCCAGGGCTGAGGCGGCGTCTCTCTCTCAGTAGTTTGTTTTTCGCTTTCCATTACATTCGTCAAAACCTGTAAATAAAACAGGTAAACACCGCTACGCTGTCATTTAGTAGCAAGGTAAAGCTGTTAGCTAGCTTACATTAGTCCTCCACTGCAGGTTAACACGCCCCAACAGGTGATGGAGAGGATCACCTGTAACGTTATCCCTTTCTAAAATATAACAGGTTGTCAAATGAAACATTATCTAATTAATCCAAGTTAAATCTATAAAAATATTCTGTATTTCGCTCACCTGTACCAAAGTTTTATCCTTTGATGGAGCAACATTGTGGAAAAGCTGTTATGATTTTCGTTGACGTCGCCCAGGTTGGATGACAGATCCATCCGCCAGCAGACAGGGATGAAATATAGACCCTTTGGCGAGGCGGAAGAGCACACAAATTGTAAAGTTTGTACTGAAAAGAGGCGGCGTTGTAACCTCAAACAAAAGAGTTGTTGCTTTACAGACAGTGTTATAAAGTGCAACAAAGCTAAACTACATTTAATTTAAGCTGAACTTGTCTACAAGGAGTAAATTCATTTTCAGAGACAATATTTCTCCATTGAATTGATGCATTTCTGCAAATGCAGTTATGCAATGATCACAGCTTCAAATACACTCATATTCTCTTTGCACAGTTCCCTTTACTTTTCCTACAAGTATCACGTAGGAAACACGGTTTGTAAAACACCTAACAAAGTATACAGACTTCACAGAGGTTTGATAACTGCTGACTCCATACTCAGTATAGTCACATATGAAGGACCACACTAGGTTGTTTACCTGGCATTTGCCAAAAGACAGGAGCAAAGAGAGTATATATGAAATGCAGATATATACTGTAGGTAATGTAAAGGTAAAAGTATGCACATAAGGCTGTGCATAATGTGAGTTGGGAAAATCTGCAGAGAGATTACAGTTGTCCATCTATGATGTGCTCATATGGAGAAGTTAAAAAACTGCAGAAAATATTTCATTTTCAGTGGTGTTTTTCCCTCAAATCTGGGCCTGTTGTTAATAAAGATGCATCAAAACAAGAGAAGAACTGTAAAACAGCTGGCCCAGATGTCATAAAGCTGTATAGGACTAGGTCAGTGCCCACATCCTTTTCATGTCACAATTCATACATTATTTTTATATTGTTTATATTATCTAACATATTATTTGCAATTATCTTTCCAACAAATGGTCCGCAATGAGCGGACCATTTGTTTGTTGTTGATCCCTATGCAGGGTCATGTGTCTCAAATAAATTCAGTATATGGGACTTTGCACATATGTACATCATTTTTAGGCCTAATTTTGTGCACATGCTAGACCAGGTTTCTACATTAAATGCTTTATGATGTTTCTAGTAAAGATGTGTTTAATCAAATTATCACACACTAACACAAACGGTGTTAGCCTATTTCAGTTTAGAAGGACTGGATGGGCTAATGGGAACTTGGCAAGAGAACATACAAGATCATCTTTTCTACTGTGGTCTACATATCACATTACTGGCTTTTTGATTTGCATATAAAATCATAGCAAGGCTGCGCACATCAGCCACACTCATACAGAGTGGTCCATATGATGATTGACAGCAATCTGTCTATAACAGACAGGTGGGAGGAGTGGTCAACGTTGTAAACTTAAATATGGGTTTGAACTCTGTTCCTTTTTGTCCGGACGTCGCCATGTTGATGGAGGAAACCTGTCCAGGTATGTGACTGTTATTAGAACGGACATGAACGTTCCATGGTCGCCCTGTTTGGTTTCCAGGTGCATCATTTGGACCTCATCATCAATTTGAAAGTAAACAACCGTCCATCAATCAGAAAAAACAGGCATTTCGACTTTCACTCGACGATTTCGTTGAAAAGGAGACATCCACCTGCGATTTTTTTGCACCTGGACATCACCTAACGACCTGCTGTCACTGACAAGAGGACTTTTTTCAAGAAAGACGTGAGATAACGTTATATATAGTTGTGTATGGTTAACTTATACCCTACTATTGTGTATAGTTACAAATGAGGAGCAAATATGAACTAAAACATGTTCATTATTATTATTAATTATTATTAATGATAAATAATTAATCTGTTTAATCAGTTTTCACAAGTAGAATCTGATTCAATTTTGCCATTAACATGTATTCAGTAATGTTACAATAAACTGTGTTGTGTACACTTTATTGGTGCTCCTACTTTAAGGCCTCTTTCACTAGTAACACTCACCTATTTGTGTTTACCTTAAGTACTCGTGCACTTTGTCCTGAGCATAATTTAATGCATAACTTATTTTTAGAATTTTATTGTGAGTGTTAATGCATTGTGCTACTTCAATGATGTGATGACATTTCCATGAAGTAATTATGGGTAAACGGTTCATGGTTTGTTTATGTGATGTGGAGCGTCTGAAGGTTGTATTTGTTTCCACCTTCAGATGGAGCACCGCTACACCTCGACAACGGACCTCGTTCCAAGCCCCACCCAGCCAAACATCCCACGGATCATCCGCCGTAGGGTCCCAGCACCAGCCTCCAACAGTGGATCCCCACATGGCTCCCCATCTGGTTCCTCCCCTGGATCCCCGCTTGGCCCCGCACCCTCACACTCTGGCTCCTCCTCCCAGGCTGTTGTGACACCCACTGAGCCTACGGCGGCGTGCCCTCCTGAGCCACTGAAGACACCCACCGAGCCTCTGGCGGCGTGCCCTCCTGCAGGACCTCAGTCACCCCAGTCATCCAGTGAGCCTGGGCTGTTTGGGAGCCACCCTGAGCCGGACTGGGCGAGGAACGTCAGGCTTCTTATGGAAAGGAGGGAGCCTTATGACAGCATGGGACGCAAGAGACCTTTTAAAAAGTTTTATTTACAGTCTGAGGCCAATCCTCAAGGTAAGTCTCCAGGTAAGCGCCATAATTATTTCATTTGAACTGAATTTCTTTGAATTGAATGCATTTGAATCAAATGTGTCTTAATTTCTCTGAGTTTCTTTGAATCAATTTGATTTTAATTACATTGAATGCATCTGAATTGAATTTCTTTGAATCAATTATCAATTTGAATCGAATTGCTTTGAATTTCTTTGAATTTCTTTGAATTTCTTTGAATTTAATTTCTTTGAATTAATTTGAATTTCACTGAATTCAATTGCTTTAAATTGAATTACTTTGTATCAATTTAATCCGAATTTAATTGAGTTGCTTTGAATCTATTTCATTGATTTAATTGATTTGAATGAAATTGAATGATATTATATTGCTTTAGATTAAGGGTCAGTGCTCTGGTAAGTGTGATGTTCTTGTTGCTGCACCATGACTCAGGCAGGGTGTCTGCATGGAGCGAGTGTTTTCTGGGAGGGATAGCGTGAACCTCCAACGTGTTTCGACCTCCCAGTGAACCTCCTCTGTGTCAGAAAAAGAAAAGGATGGCGACACCATGTCAAGGGGGTTCATATGTCTGTCGACGCCCACCCTCGACCAACAGGAGTCTCCAGTGACAGGGACTTCAGAGCAGGGGTCCTCAATAACAGGAGAGGAGAAGAGCAGAGGATAAGAGAGGAGAGGAGTGGAGGAGAGCGTGGGAGGAGTGGAGGAGAGGAGAGGAGCGGAGGAGTGGAGGAGGAGAGGAGAACAGAGGAGGAGAGAAGGAGAGGAGAGAAGAGGAGTGAAGGAGGGAGGGCAACATGACGTGTGAACCCTCTCATGTAAAGGTAAATATTTCATTATTTATTATCAGATTTTATGCAGTGATGAATTAAACATCTTTTGACCTGATTTCTAAAGTTTTTAACTACAATCTGCTTGTGTTTAATTTTCCTTTTAGAGGGATGATGGGAGAGGAGAGGAGGAGGAGAGGAGAGGAGGTTGGAGGGAATATGACATGTGAACCCTCTCAGTCAAAAAGGTAAATTTCAATTCTATTTCATATAAATAATACTCTTCAATAATCCCTCTGTTCACTGTTATTCTCTGAAGATTCAATTATCGTCTCTTGTCTGTAGTTTTTTTTTTTTCAGGAAGAGGAGAGAAGAAAAAATGAAAGAAGAAAAGACACATGAAGAGATGAGGACATTAAAAAGAGACAAGAAAACAAGAATAAAGGAGAGGAGGTGGGAGGGCAATAAGACATGTGAACCCTCTCATGTAAAGGTAAATATATTACATGTTCAGATTTTATGTAGTGATAAATTAAATCTCTTTTGACCTGATTTCTAAAGTTTTTAACTACAATCTGCTTGTGTTTAATTTTCCTTTTAGAGGGATGATGGGAGAGGGGAAGGAGAGGAGAGGAGAGGAGAGGAGAGGAGGAGAGGAGAGGAGAGGAGGTGGGAGGGCAATATGACGTATGAACCCTCTCAGTCAAAAAGGTAAATATCAGTTTATCTGCTGTTTTTACCAGGTTTTATAAAGTTCAGATTTCTCTTGATCTGTTCATAAGTTATTTGACGTTTTTAACTATTACTCCTTTTTATCTGCCTTTTATTTTTACAGAGGAGAAACAACTAAAGAAGAAAAGACGTGAAGAGATGAAGAAAAAATACATTTTAATGAGATGAGAAAAAAGGAGAGGAGAGGAGGTAGGAGGGCAACATGATGTGAACTCTCTCAGTCAACAAGGTAAATATCAGTTTATTTCATATATACATTAAATGATACTTGTGAATAATCAATTTGATCACTGTTATTCTCTGAGGATTTAACTATTATTCTCCCTTGTCTGTATTTGTTTTTTTTCAGTAAGAGGAGAGAAGAAGACACAATTAAAGAAGACAGAGAGACTGAAGAGATGAGAAAAGAAAAGGACAAAAAGGAGAGCGGAGAAAATGAAATATCAAATATGACTGTCAATAAAAATGAATGAAAAGTTGCATTTCATCAAATTGCCACAAACTAACACGAATGGTATTATTCCATCTCAGCAGGACTGGATGGGCTAATGGGACCTTGGAGGCAAAACAACATACAAGATAAGTTTTTGAATTTTTTTTCCAGATTTGACCTGTCTATATATCATGGTTTTTGACCTGGACCTGGTCCAACGTGGTCGTGACATGAAAAAAGCTGTGAAATCTCAATTTTTTGCATTTTCACAAATAAAATGTCTACCTAAAATGTCTTGATTTCACAACATTAAGAGGCGCAAACAGCACCATTATGTGGTGACTGTGTGCATCTTAAGTCGTTAGAGCTTCATACGAATTTATCATGAATCATTTTGTGTGCACAAGATAAAAAATGTCACCTTACTGGAATTTTGCGTCTCCATAGGAAAGGATTGCAGATGAGTTGCATAGTGTAGTGTCTGGTAATCCAGTTCAACTGACTTGTAAGTAATCCAGCCTTCCTTCAGGGCTTCTACAGCAGCTTATTGCTCGGTTATCTCTACAGCACACAATATACACTGCCAGGACCAGCAGTTCACTGGAAGCATCCATCCCCATCTGTCTCTCCAAAAAACATGACCCAGAAAGGATAAGGAGCAAGCAGGAAACACCAGTCAGCAAGAAGAATTCAAGGTTGTTATTGTTGGAGAAAGGGGTTGTGGGAAAACCTTGCTACTCACAGTTTATACTAAAGGAGTCTTTCCAGAGGTGAGAGACTCACAGTGGAGTGCAACTGTACAGTTGTCACTGACCATTTGCTGTTACCTATGTGTAGTTAGGATTACTTTTGTGAAGCAATATTAGTGTGTAATCACAGGGTAGAACTCATTGGAAAGTAACATATCTGTGGGAATAAAACTCTTTTTCTGACAGGGTGAAGAAGCGAGAAGGAAAATCTGTGCTGTGCTGAACCTGGAGGCTCTGCCAAATACCGGGGAAATGTGGACGACTTATTCAGAGAAGGAACAAAACAAGGACTAATGGCCACAAGAGCACAGGAAAAAGTCAGACAGCGGGGAGTTTGTGTCCCTTGTCCCTTGTGATGCGCACTCATGGCTCTGACTGGCTGACAAGCGTAGGCTACACTGAAAGTGCATGATCGGACACATTTCCTGTGTGGGTTCACTCTTTACTTCCTGGTTTAAAATACATTTGTCTGCGAAAATAGGTTTGTTTATTTTTACTGTTTTTGTTTTCTATTAATGCAAATATACAAATAAAAATAAAACACTGACATATCATCTTAAATGTGTTTTATTCAAACTGGCAACAAATGTCCTGGAGAGACTTACCAGGTGAAAAAGCTGCAGCTTCTTGAGCTGCTAACACCACACATAAGTAAAACTTCAAAATACAGTATTTGCTGATAATTCACTTTGAAGCTGTGCATTCACACAAGCAGTGGAACCTGTCTATATACATTACCATACACTGGGTTAAATAAATAAACCACAATAATGAACCAAAGAAACTTGCCTTTGCTTGCATTGATCTGTGTTTAAAGAAGGCACATGGAGAATATTCCTATCACAAGTGTCCCAGAGTGTGTGCAGTCGATCTGCATTAACCTGTCTATTTAGTTCCTGTAACAAAGTCATAAAGAAACACCATCAACAGTGTGGAGAAGGGTAATGATCATTTTACTAAACAGTCTGTGAGTTACTAACCCCTCAAGGCTCCTTGTTCTCTGCGACATGGCCCAGAGATATTACTATCTGCACAGGAGAATTTGAATCCAAATTTAGGGAGCTTGTGGTCTACAGATGATATTACATTACCATGACTCATCATGAAACACGTATAGGGGGTGGCTAATACAGACAAAACTGGCATGGCACTAATGACTGCTGCATTACCTTGGTATTATGTTACAATATAAATCACATGAGACATATTCAAATTCATGTTTATGGCATAGATTAGAAATGGTTGTACTGTGTTTGCTGACCAAAAGACAAAACACATTTTTTTTTCAAATATTTCAATATATTCAAATATTCTCATGTTGTTTTTTGCTAATTCAACATATTTAGGGATTCATATTTTGGGATATGAAAATTTTCAAATATCATGGCAGTATTAAACATGCCGTGTGCACACATTTCTTCTTTTGAGTTTATGTACTAATTTTAAGCTAACAACAAGAGAAAAGTTAAGTAAACTGTCAAACACGTGTAGAACAATTCAACAATGTGCCACAGGACAAAAACAACACACTCTATGTTCCACACCTTAAAAAATCTACAACCTAAAAGTGATCATGCTCAAACTTGTAAACTATGAAAAGTACAAAACATATAAATTTAGACACAGTTCCAATACACGCATGCTTTGTAATAACACATTTAAAAATGCTTCTTCAAAACCAGTAAATATTCTTTGGATTACAATATGTTAGAATTGCAAAAGCAACATGAGATCGAGCGAATTTCTCAAACTTTTACCCGAGATTGTGTTTCCTAGAGAATGACTCCTCTGAGAAAAGAACAATGAGTCTTAAACACAGACGTAACCATCCGGCTCAATATGCTGCCCTTAAATATTCACTTTGATTCCCACCAAACCCTTGCTATAAAAATATGTGCACTGTAATACCACAATTTGGTTAAAAGCATTCCCTGACCAGTATTTATTTTTAAGAGAAGTTCCTTTTGCCTCAGATAACACATGAATACTGATGTATTTTAACATTAATATGTCATATTTCTTTTGTTAAATATCTAAACAATGTTTTGCTCAAAGCTTAATTTTCCTATGCTGACTGAAAAATCTTGGTAAATATTTAATAAGGATGCAACTTGTTCCATAATTTTGGTTTTAAAGGAAGCAGTGATTCTAATATAACTGATATTTCATTCAGACAATTCAAATCTTGAATATGAACATCTGTGTTGACAATATAGGCTTGGTAATGCTCCCTACAAAGCCTCAGGTGGATGCTGCTATGGCGACAAGTTTTACAGTAAACCATCAGCAGCACAGAATAAACTTAAGTTTGATGGCTTCAATAGACCAGTTAATTACTGAAATAAAAACCACAGAAAGAACAGCACCACTGAAGCATCTACCTGGACTAAGACCAGACATCTTTTATATGAATATTGTGAAGAAGTTCTGGCCGTGTTAACTCACATTCAAACAAGGAAGTGTACCTTTAATTTAGGGCCATTGTTTGGATCAAGACATGGATCTTAATAAGATTTTAAATCCTAAGAAATTAAGTCCTGTTTTCTACCATTGTTTACAACTAAACAACAACTTATTATTCATTATTATGTAGTACATTTTTTACATTACAAAGTTCTTTAGAGACTTCAGCCTTAAAATGTGTAATGTTATAATACGATATGATATGTCATGTTGCAAGCCACTTAAATGTTAGTGCCTGAGAGCAAATGATTTACCTTCAAGTGAAAAGTAAAACTATTTTACTAATATCTAATGTGTAGCAGTTGGTGAACATGCATTATCCAAAAGTGGACTGCAACACTCGATAGATGAAGATTGCAATTTCGAAAAAAAAAAAAAAGGGCATCTGAGCACAGTTTATAAACATTAAAAATAAAGCTTTAAGAGGAGATTTCACAATAAAAGCACTGCTGAATGTCCACTGTAGTTGTATGCTGATTGGCTATAATCAAGGGAAATGAACAGCCGCCTTCAGGTCGTCATTTTCAGCCCTGTGATCCAGCTGGTTCTGGAGCCGAATGACCTGCTCCAGCTCTCGGATCTGTCGGTCCGTTTTGTGACTAACGAGTGTGCGGTAAAAGTGGACAGCGAACACAATAAAAACAATTCCAAACGGCACCATGATGCAAGTGGAAGCGATGGCTGCGGCCTCACCAGAACTTATGGTGCCGTTGTTTTCTTCTTTGTTGCTTTTGAGGGGCAAGAACTTCACCCAGCACAAGAGCATCACCTCTGTGAGGAAGAGGAGGGTGCCGATGACTGTGGAGAAAGCCCAGGCCAGTTCTATGTGGCGGTGCATGCGCTCATGGGGAGACTCGTTGACAGAGTTGAGGTTGTGAACGTTGCTGACGGCCTCAAGGTTAGGGAGGATGCAGGTGCTGATCATGAGGGCAAAGAGGTGCACTGCAACCAGAACCGTGGTGCAGGCGCTGAAGGCTATAAGCAGCCCTGGAGGATATGTGTAATCCCGCTCCAGCTGCACCTCCACCATGGCAACCTGGGGAAATCAAACAGGAAAGGGTTTGCAACACAGCAACTGTCAAGGGCTAATACACCACTGGAAATCTATTCTGCTCCACCTACTAGCTTAATATAAACCATCAACTGTGCAAATAATCCTGCACTGTAGTACTGTTCTGGATCAATAATACAGTAAATAAGACTGTTATGTTTACAGTACATGCACTGTGAATGTGCATTGCTTTCCACAATGAGATCCAAGGCCAACCAAGGATCTCTCAGTGGGGACAGTTTGATTTCACTAGATGCAGTAAAATGTAAAATACCTAATAATGGTCATTTTGATCCCTCCCTCCCTCTCACTCCCTATCTGTCCCTATCTCCACCATACAGCAAAGGCAGCTATGTGCAGTTTATTAACCAAATGAAAAGTAACAATAAAAATGTTCTCAGCTGTGGTGTTTTACTGAATATTAAACAACATCTGATGATCCAAACATATGACAAAGAGTACAGACTTTTTCACAAATAGACCTAGTTGTCATTCTAATGAGCTGAGTTGTGTCTGTTATTATATAATGTCTGGTATATACAGTGGTAGGTGTAAATGAAAGAATGTGCATGTAGACCTTTTTGTAAGAGGTTTTTAAAGGCTGAGAAAATTATTACTATAACATTATATTGTATGATAATGCATGACATGCTGTGTAATTGCATACACAATAAATCTTTAATGTGTACTGTTGATTATTGTAATGGCATTAGAATTATTGCTTTTTTTTTTATTCAATTTCAAAGAAAAATATTTGCACAAGTTATTAAAGTAGTGTTGATGTGTATGTTGAAAAATGTGTGTGGATGCCTCAGCAAGTGCTGCTGTGTGGTGTAATTGTTATCGCGGAAGATAACCCGGATTTGAAGTTGTGTGGCAAGCCCTATGAAGTTTACACAAACTGCTTATTTCACTTGGTCCGTTAGTGCTGCACTGTTGCATCGTGAGAGATATCTCACGCAAAGGCACACCTGACTAAACCCACTGACCACCCTTTGTTTCTGATGTTGTGACCTTTTTGTTTTCACGTTCGCTGCTCAGTGTCCTCACGGAAACAAGCCCGTCGTTGATAGTTCATATCAGCGCACAGCAGCCGTCATTAAGGCCTGTTTTAGTGGCAGGAGCGACGCAGCCCTTGAAAACAATAATCTGCGTCACGTATCTGCGGTACATGCCGATGGCCTAAACTGAGCGTGTATTCATGCAGTTAACACTGTAACAAGAACCAGCCGAGTCAAGGCGAACTCACCATTGCGAAGCCCGACAACAGAGCTGAAGTGCGGCTGGTGGCTTTTAATTTGGCTCGACTCAAGTAGAGTTTTCTCCATGACAGAGCCTGCAAAGAGTGCTCGTTCAAACTCATTCCGAAAGTTCTTCCAAGTGACCGGTCTTTTTCTTTTTTTTTCTTTTTTAAATAAACATAAAGCTATAAAGCGGATTGATTTACAGTATGATAATCGATGTCCGATGAAAAGCGCACAGAGGGAATGAGGTTCCAACACGATAACATATGATTATCTCTAGATACAGAGAGCTATAAAACTATGTCAAAACTTTCCTGCAGCAGCTGACTGTCTGTCAGAGTCTATCAGGAAACACAAGATACCCACAATCCAATGCTCTACTCAAGAGCCGCATGAGCTCGCCTCCTTGCGCCAGTAACAGACAATGTTCATGATGAAGCTGAAAAGTATTTCCCTATACGAATAATATGTCAACCCAATCCATAAACCCAAAGTGCGTAATCCACTTTAGTGTAACATCTCGTGTCATATTGCTACTGACGCCCACAGTTGTATATGTTTGAGTGACAGTGTTTCCTGCATTTACTGTCAGCAGTTTTTTAATGAAACTGCGGAAACTGATCTCAGACCAGAGATTAAAATTAAGCAAATAAACAAAACAAAAACAAAACACAAATCTATGTGAAGTCTGGTGGTGTACATTTTCTTAGTTGTTATCGCCATCGAGAAAGAAAAAGTTACAAAATAGTGTGTTTATGTACGCCACAATACTGACAATTATTTATTAGTGCCTATTTTCTGTTACATTGTGATATTACTTAATAGCTCATTAATATTAATTGTCTCCTCATTGAAATACGCCAATATATCTATTTGGCAATAATTAAGGTAAATACAAGACTGCAGGCACCAACTCCCAGATATACCATTCAATTAAAGTTAAAAATACAATAAAGCTAAAAGACAGTTTGAACTGTCTAAACACAGAACTAGCAGGTCCTTTTGTTACTTTTAGGTTGTTTTACTGATGAGGTTTTGCAGGCCTTCCTGTGTAAGTTCACACTTCTGAACACTAGACACAACAGAACAAACAAAGTAACCACTACTTAATCCCACAAATCAACAGCAGAGAATACATGCAGACTTTAATGTTAATAAGCATCTCTCTATAATCTGGTTCAGTTCTGTTTGGACAGTGGCTGAATAATAAAGAAGCTTCTGGTGCCCCTATGGAGACAGTAAATGACAAAAGCTGGAGTAGAACATCATAGCAGTCCTTCACCACATGAGGACTGACAAGCACAAAATAGAAGAAGAAGCAGAGATGGAAATTTATGATTACAGTATAATATCAAAAAGTATAGAAAACACATTGTGTTTTATGTTTGCTTTTCTGTGTGTGCAAACACAGATGCATGCACATGTTTCCCATTACCCTAGGAAAAACCCCAGTCACTACAGAGATAGGCCTATAGAAGAAGTGCATTTTGTGCATTATTCACAGATTAACCATAACAGGCATATAACTGTCCCTCATGAAACCAGACGTGTACCATTTCCAATTCTAATTTTGAGCACATTGAAATCTGATCTCACTGCCACACACAACTTTGTCAAGAGATCTGCTACTCTCTCATATAATGTATTGCAATTCCTCTTGTGAGTTCAAACCATCTATCACAGTTTAGATTTAGTCAAGATTCACCAGAATCTGAAGGGGTCAGAGGCAGAAATATTAATGGGCCCTTCCGACAAACACAGTGCAGCAGTAAGAGAGCGTGTGTAACATCAACATACCCTCTATTAGATAAAATAATAGCAGTAAATTTAGAGGAAAAAAAATCACTTTTTATATCACTTCACATCACTTTTCATGAAAAAAACATTAAATTCTCCTTTACATGGACATTTCTTTGACATAGTTGTAATGTAGTTGCTCCACTGCACAAGCTGCTTGTCTCATTCTTGATACTCTACCACCAGATGCCGCCAAAGTTTGACATCTTCAAACTATAAACAGAGTGGCTTTTACATGATTCACTATTAAATCACTATCATTATATCATACAGTCCAGCCCTGAGTGAGTCAGTGACACATCTCTTGGTATGTTGGCTCTGTACTCAAGTGCATTAGATCTGAAATTAAGCAAAGGTAAAGTACTGACTGTAGCCTTTAGTTTGAGAGTATTTATCAACATCAGATGAACAGGGTGAGTGCGCTGATTGTAAATGTTTTCATTTTCACAGAAATAAAATATATTGGACTATAAACCAATATCAACATGTTTAATATCTGGTGGCAAATCTCGTGCAATCAATGCTGAGGTCTGTAACTCATAGACATCAGTAGACACTTGTAATAGCCTACTTATGATAAATGTGCTGCAGCCATCTTCAGCTCTTGGCCTTGACCTCACCTATAACACCTGCTCAGGTGAAATGAGATCAGGTGACTGACTTTGTCCTTTGCCCGTCAAAGGTCACTTCACTGTTTGGCCATCAAGCTGTAACATGTAGAAAGCATGAATAATCATTACTGACACCAAACCTAACCCCAGAGGTTTTAAAGGGGGGGCACTTGAGTATAAAACAACTAGTAACCTACTGAGACTTTGGGGATTAAGATTTTAAATAAATACAATTAACATTTGAAAAAATTAACCGGTACTGTCACCACAAGCCCCACAAAAAACCAGCAGAAACAAATACAGACATGCGAAGGAGTGAACGCTCTTGTCTTGTCCGCTTATCTTCATTTCCTGTTGCGTTGATGCTGCATTTAACACCCAAGTCAATAACCGTTGCAACGTACGGCAAGTTCTCTGCGACGCTATACAGTGACAAAACTTTATATATACCGAACCTTTTGTCTTATGTTGTATGTCTAATTTAAAATACTATTTTTAATTTCAAGGATGAGTTTAATGACTCGTATTGCTTTCACGCTCGACTGATGTTCGGTAGACTGAATGCTGTCGGTGGATTAAGTAAGCGGGAAGTTAGTGTTTCCCATAGTTCATGAAGGCGGCACAGTGAGCATAGCTAGCAGCTGCTTGTGTCGCTGTGGAGGAGGGACGGTTGGGGGGGGGGTGAGCTGGAGGAGCCTTGTTCAGCCATGTTAGTTTTCTGTGCTGTTCACAAACGATGAGAGAGAGGAACCATGGCCTTGTCATTGAGCGGAGACGACGAGGAATATGATTCAGAGTCTGAGCAGGTCAGAGCTCTTACATTTCATAATGTGACCTCTCTGTATGCGTGTGTTGTTTTAGTGAGCTATGTGAAAGGAAGCCTTTTATAAGCTGAACGTTTTTTTTCTTCAGTTGCTTCAGGTTAACGTTTTGGTTTTCACCCGCTTCTCTTCTTCTCTGTATTTTAGTCGAGTTGAAAGGAGAAAGGTCCTTTAAACCTTATTCAACAGTTAACCAGGTTATAGAGATGAACACCTAGCTAAACATTAAATACATATTACAGTTAAATAGAGTCGGACTGCTTATCTGAATTGATACCCTGATTGTCCAAACACACCGTGTCCTCTCCTCCTTGGACACCATCTATCATGTTAGCCACAACTGACCCATTTTGTACTGACCACCTCTTAACACAGAGCACTTTCATCCAGTAATGTTATAAATCCGTGGCGGTGGCCAGAACCTCAGTGTACTCCATTAGCTGTAAGGCCATCCAACTTCATGCTGGTAAAAAGCTGTGATTTACTCGTGTACACTAACGTCCCATAACTGCTTTGCTTGCGATTAATTTCCTCATACTTCCTAAACTTGCCCCACCACTCTGTGCCTTTAAGGAGGCTTTAGGCAAAATGTTGTTGGAGCAGGGACTGAGGAGGGGGATGGGGAGAGGGAACAATGAAGTGGCTCTGCTTCTGTTGGGTTCCCAAACCGGGGTCCAGTGACCCCCTCAAACCTCTGGCAAAATTATGGTTGGTTTGATTTCAGCTGTGTTTTGTCCACATGTTTCCCACCAGAAGGAGGACTATAGAATGCTGATGATTTAAGTTAGATGTCACACTCAACATATTGTATCATGAGGTTCCTAAGGACAAAGTTTGCATGTGATATTACGTCCATCTATAAGTAGGGTCCACAGCATGAATGTTTTCTAACTGAGCTCCATTAGACATTTAGCCTGTATTATTCAGGAGAAATGTGAGAAGTGTTGACACTACAGTCAGCTCCTTGTTCTTACACAATGTTTATACCCACAATATCCATTAACACTTCCTCATCAGAGAGGACATTTTGGCCCCTTCTGTTGTGACACATCTCAGAGACAATAACACACACTTTTATCTGTGTTAAGGACCACTGTACATGAGCAGCAGATGATGAGCCTTGTGACTGCCTCCCACTGAAATCCACGTTGAAGCTGAGTCAGAAGACTGCGCTCAGAATATAGGCCATGTTTTTGTTCACAGGCCTCAGCAACCAATCCCAAATTCCTGACATATTACTGCACCGAGTTACAGTAAAGACGGGTCAGGTGGTAGTTGCTTTGGCGATCCCGCTCTGCAAAGTGACTGCTTTGAATTGGGTGTAGCCACACTTTGATGCCACCAGCTGAGGTCAGAGGTGTTAAGTCAGTGAATGAAACGTCAACTATTTGTTGTGATCAGAACTTTGCATAGCCACTTTAATTCATCGGACGCTTTGTTCAGAGGCACTGCAAACCTGACTTAGGTAAGCTATTACAAAAGCAGTTGTGTCAGACAAAGGTCAGGAAAATAATGAGGCAGCTGAACTAAAAAACACAGTGTGACGTTGACAGTCACAGCTACCTCTGCAGCAGCAGCAGCAGCAGCACCAGTCCTGTCTTTGATGTCAACCTCCTGTATTTCCATAGTGAGATGGATTTATGGAAAGCTGTCAGATGGATTTAGCCATGTTTTGAACAAATTGTCCATCAGCAACAGCAGACAATGAACAACCTATTGTGTTGGGGAGAAAAAGAAACATACAATTTAAAAGACACTCAGTGATATAAAACTGTAGATTTCAAAAACAAGCCTTTCAAAAATCCTCCTGAGGAAAAAGGTGCTAGGACAGTTTTTGGTAAACATGAAGGAACATCTTGTTATGAGGATGTCCTGACAAAATCAGGGCAACATTAATAACATACTGAGTAGGTTATTTTTTCACAGTCAACAGATTCATGGCTGGTTTCTCCTCTCTTTGTAGGTAGTATCATTCAGAAAGCATTAGTCTAGATTGTCGTTAGCCTGGAATATCTTGTTTTATATCTGTCTTGTTTTGCCTGTTTCACATGTCCATAGAGCTCCAGCACTGATATCCAGAAATGAAATCAACATGTGCTTGAAAGCTATTTAATAAAATACTAATGTTAAATAAATAAATTAAATAAATATGAACTGAGTGATA